CGGAGGCCCTCCCTGCCACCCTCCCATCCCCGCCTGACGTACCCCAGGTCACAACCTTAACCCTGTCTGTTAATCTGCTGCACACTTTGAGCACCCTTGGACCCGCGTGTCATTGCTCATGGTCTGCCGTGAGCATGGTGGCCTGTCTGTCGCAGGGACTGCTCTCTCCAGTGCCCCGCCAGGGCGGTCTGCCGAACGCGGGGCTACGGCAGGCAGGGCCAGATGGTGCGTGGTAGGCATTTGGCGTGGGAGCCGCGTGCGCGGGGGCTGGGGTGAGAGGAGGCATGGGTGCCTCTCTGCCCGCCCTCCCGGACAGGTACACCTACCCTGGGCAAGTCTGGCCCACAGGAGGTCTGACAGGGATGGGGTGTGGGCCGCGGGCAGCCCCCCCGTCCCCGGCCTCCTCCTCCCATGACTAACATTTGGCGACGACCATGGAGGACAGCAGGGCTGGACCTCCCTCCCCCGTGGCAGGCCGTGCGCTGTCCTGGCCTTTCACTGACAGGTGGCCTGTGTCCTCTCTCACTTCAGCTCCATCATTCAGTGGATCAATCTGGCAACACTGACTGGAAAGGAGGTGGATAAGCAGGTGCTCTGCTGGCTTTAAAATGACTAGAAACTATGTGATCCTATGTCCTGGTGGATGCAGCCTGGGATGTTGTTTTCCTATTTTTGCTCCTTGTGACTGACCCCTGGGAGATCTGTGTACAGAAGCCCAGGACCTGACTCTACTCCTGTGTCCCTGTGGCAAAGGACGTGCCATTCGGCTTGTCCCACTCCCCCACCCCCCACACGCAGCTGCCTGCCACCTGCAGAGAGACAGCCCTGAGGCCACAGGACTTGCTAGAAGGGAGATTAGCGAGTGGCAGGAAAGATTAGCAACTAGGGGTGGCACAGTTCGTGCCATTAGACACTCCTGGGCCTCAGGTTTCCATGGGCACCTCAACCTTCCCCCAGGGATGAGAGAGGGGCGTTGGAGAAGGGCCACTGCCCCTCCCTTCTCCCCTCACCATCTCTTCTCCCAGCCTCTACCCACCCCAGGGGACTCTTGCTCCACTCCTGGGCAGGGAGGGAACATGGACAGGAGGCTCCGGAACAACTCATTTTAGAGTATTAGCCCTGCAGGCCTCAGGCCAGTGACAGATGGGGCTTCTCTGGGATGGGGGTGTGTTCCAATGAGTCCAGAAGTCAGAGTCACCACTTGCCTGTCCCCTTGCTCCCCCATCCAGTGACAATTGTAACGCTCATAGTAACAGCATCCGCCAGGGCCTGCCACTTCAAACAGCAAGGGCTGTTTAAACAAGATAACAGGCTGCCGGTGAAGCTGTAACTCAGGCCCTAATAGCCTGAAACCTGTGTTTTGAACCTGCCAGAAACAGCAGAGGGCTACTTCCTGCCTCACGCAGCAGTTTGGCCTCAGGCTGCCTCGCCTCTGCCGATCCCCCCACTTGCTGGGCCAGCCTGTTTGCTGATGCCTGGTTTTTCCACTGTACAGTGTGGAGGGTGCTAGGATGCCCCTAAGTAACAGCAAGAGTGGCAGCTCCCAGCTCCCACAGCACCCTGGGCAGGGGACAGCCAACTCTCTCCCGTGGGTGACAGACCAGCTGTGCCACTAGGGCAACTTGTTCTTGGAGCCTGAGTTTACTCATCTGTGTGTTGGGGGGTCTCACGGGTTGTGTGTGCAGGACCCTAATACAGTGCCCAGCGGCCCAGCCTTCTTCCACTGCCCAGCCCTCGTTTTCCCACCTGGAGATCAGCCCCTCGAGAGAAAGGGCTGTGGCCTGGGTCCCGCCACCTCACCCACAGTGCTCGGCACAGGCCTGAGAACCAGAGCGCCACAATACGAGTGCGGTCAACCCAGCTCTCACCCTTCCATTTAGTCTGTGGCCAACCACAATACACGGCTGCTCTGGGCTGAGCCCACGCTGGGCCTGTTAGATGGATGGCCCCACCTCCTCAGGAGCTGAGCAAGGGAAGAGGGGGCCCAGAGGCCAGCCTGGACTTAGGCAACTCAGATGGACACGGGTAGGCCACACAACAACCCTGGGGCCACAAACTAGATCAGGGCCCCACCCAGGGCCCCAGTGTGAGCTGGAGATGGCCCTGCAGTCAGCATGTTCTTGTTCCCCAGGTGGGGGCTTTGCCTATCTGACCACGCTGTCCCCCTGGGGGGTCGGAGCGGGCCAACCACAACACTGGCACGCTCCAAGCCCTGCACGTCGGCCGTGCCGTTCCCCAGCGCAGGCCTGGCGCCCCAAACGTATCACTCTTCTTGCTTTCCGTCCTCACTGAACCTCAGAATCAACAACTTACAGGATCTTAGAGCCAGAAAAGGCCACTCCTCACTCCTGCCCCCACGAGTGTTGGTCAGAGCCCCGGGCTGTGACATAAGTGGTGGGCCTTCTACAACTTGAGGGGGTGACTCAGGTGGGCTCAAAGACTCCCATTTCTGGGGCAGCAAATTGCCAGGGCAACACTTTTCAGAGCATTTGCTCTCAAAGGGTCTGGAGCTTCCATGTACTGATCAATTTCACACCCAGGCCCAGAGAGGGAAGTGACCCCTGGCCACCCAGCAGGCCCCTGGCCTGCTCTAGCTTCAGCACACCTCACCCCCTGTCTTTCAGGGAAGAATGCCTTTTCTAAAGCCCCGGTCCATTTTTGCTTCAAATGAAATGAGAACCCTTTTCTATTTGTTTTTGTGTTAAATCTTGCTGGCTTGATCCAAGTCCCCCTGCTGTCAGTCACTGATGAGAAATTAGCAAACAGCAGGAGGCAGATGCGGGCAGACTAAAAGCTGCCAGCACAGATGAAGACCTGGCCTGGGGCTTAGAGGCTGCCACTGTTACCGAGAGGAAACCAGAGTGCAAGAAGCCCCTCCCGTTTCAGCGCCAGAGAACCCCCGCCCCCGAACCCCCTAGCCTAACACTCTTGTCTGACACTACGCAGCAAGGCATGCACTCCTGCACTCCTGGCCACCCCCGTCCCCCGGCCACACCTCTAAGCAAAAGCTGATAAAACCACTGGCAGTAGGCTAGGGCCAGTTCCTGCAGGGACATGAAAGGTTGGGGGCGGGGTTAGACATCTCAGTGGGGACCCTCTGCCTGTGGCTAACAAGAGGGATTTCAGAAATGCTCATCCTTAAAAAAAATATTTGGGTCATCACTGTCCTAGCCCTGGCTTCTCCCTCTGCAGGAAGTGGGGGTGCCGGGCAAGTGCACCCTTCCGGAGTCTTGGCTCCACTGAGAATTTGATCGAAGGAACAGAGCCTCTCCCGGGAAGGATGCCCACGGGTGCGTTGGTGCAGCCACACAACTGGGACGAGATCTGGGAAATGTGCAGGTCCCTGGGACCCTCCATGGCTCCCAGACATTGCCACGACAGAGGCCTTAAGCCTGGGAACGGCTGCTCCTGGCCCAGGGCCCAACACTGCATGTGCCTGAGGCAGCGACTGATGACTTTATCGTGCCCAGGATGTGGTGGGCCGGCGGGTGCCAGGCAGGCCACTAGGGCTGAGAACGGGTCCTTTAGAGGAGCTGGCAGAAGTTCATGAGGGATCGGAGCACCAGGACAAGGTCTTCCTGATGGTCCTAAGCAGCTGTTCTAGGAAAGAAAATGACTTCTCCGTCCCTGGCTTATGACCTGGTCACAAAATGTGTAAACAGTAGCCAAGAGGCTGATGTGTACACAGCACAGCCACTTCCCAGCCCCCATCAGTCACAGGGACTGCCCAGACCGAGAACCAAGGGCCTGGCTCACCTCTGAGCACTCTCTGAGATGAAACTTTCTGGATGGTGATCAACGATCGGACTCAAGACCACAATTTACGCTGCAGTCTACGGGTGGGCTATAAAATCTAAGTAGTAGGTTGTGAGCAGAAATGTGAAAAATAAAACATGAAAGAATGTAGCTTGTGCAGGACGTTACTGTCGTTGACACACCCATGTCCAGCTAGGTTCTCAGCAGTTGACAGTGCTCTCCCAGTGCACACTCTGGCTGGCACTACCCGAGCCTCTCAGATGAGGCAAGGCGGAGTGGTAAGACAGGCTGGGTGGGCCATTTCTGGGTCTTGCGCCTGTGTGTTCACTAGGGGTAATGGGTTGTACAGCTTAGGAGAGGGGCCAGAGCCACAGAAGCTGTGCCTGCAGACAGAGCATTGGGTGGGAGCAGGGATAAGGTTTGGGGGGAGGGTGTGCCAAAGGCCAGACCAGTCAGTAGGTCATAGTCTCGATTTCTCTGAGTCCAGCCTGGGATCACACATAGTGTCTTGATCCATGCCCCCTGTAGCTCTGGAGGACAGCTAGGTCTCTGGTCCCCAAGGGCTCTTTGCTGTCCAGAAAAGATCTACCCAGGTACCACTGCAGCTGGGGGCTGGGATGCCCCTAGTAGAAACATCTTGTGCCAGGCCTGGCAGTGTGCCAGCATCTTTGCTCTGAGACTCCTATGCCAGGTCCCTGGTCTATAAAAGGGGCTATAAAAGGCTATAAAAGGCCAGCCCACTAGGTCTGGACATCAGAAGAGAGCATGATAGGCCTGACCAGCAACATCCCATTCTGATTCAGTGGGGCCTCTGGCCTCTGTGATGCCATGTCCTGAAGGGCACTTGCAGTCTGGCCTCAGGAGGCTGGTGCAGTACTGGGGGTTAGGGAGTAAGACAGATGCCAGTGGGCTCCACGGAGGTCTTATAGGGTGACAGAGGCACTAGGGACAGGCTGAGGAGGGGATGGGCCTTTCCTTCTGCCCACACTGGGGAAATGGGATCAGCTTGGGCCACACATGGCCCCAGCCTGTTCTGTGGTGGGCTGGCCTTGAGTGGGTGGGCGGCCCATGCTGTACTTGGGCTCAGCCCATTTGCTTGTCCAGGAGACCCCGTGGCTGTCTCCTGTGAGAGGAAAACGAAATGGCAGGAGGGCACTCCTGTTCCCATACAGGCTTCCCAGCCACCTGAACCAGGCCGTGGGGACCCAGGAGAGGGTCGCTGACCCGCCCAGCCCCCAAGGGCCTATGCTCTAACGCTCAGCACTCTCCTTTATCAGAGCATGAGCCCCACAGTTCTGGGTGCTGTGGGCGCCTTGCACAGACACAGGTAATATCTGGTATTGTTGCGACTATGTCCTTTTGTCCTTGAGCTGAGGGCCCATCCCACTTTATAGATGAGGAAGCCGAGACCAGAGTAGCTCGTCCAAGCTGAGGCTGTGCAGGGCCAAGGGCCATGTCTGGCCAGAAGCTGTTCCCCCTCACCCCCAGAGGCCCTGTCCTCCGGCAGATGAGGCTGAGAAGAGCCAGAGGGGACTGCGTACTTGGGAGTGCAGAGGGCACTGAACTAGAGGCCATGACACTGATGTCCCCCTTTAGTGGCGGGAAACTGCCCAAGAACCACAGGTTGCCTTGGTCAGCTGTTCCAGAGTGTTTTGTTTCCTTAGAAGATGGTAATTAGCTCCAGACCCAGTTTCCTGGAGCCTGGGACTCAGGAGCCAGAGGCTATGGCTTTGGGGGAATATTGAGCAGGTCACAGACTCCCCTGCTCCACCTGTCCCTGCTGAAGGGAGGCTGTGCAGCCTTACGGGCCACGCTGGCCTGGGGATCAAGGTGCCCTCAGCCTTTCCAGGGTAACGAAGGGCAGAAGAGGTGTGCAGGGTGTGGCCTGGGGCTGGTGTCGCCAGGAACCTCAGGACCTGAGGTTTTCATTTTCCTTTCACAGCGTCTCTGGCTGACTGTAGTTTTATTAATAAAATTAGAGAAAGTGCATGAGTGGAGATGCCAAGCAGGGGGTGATGAAGACAAGATGGGGGTGAGCTGCAGCCCAGCCTCCCAGGCTCCTGGGCCAGTCTGAGCTTGTCTTCTGGGTCTGAGGACACTGGTTCAGTCCGGACCACGTGCAGGAGTAGGGGCACCTTTTGCTCCAACCTAGGTGTCCCCTCAGATGCCCAGGGCCCCTTCCTTTAGCTGTTTTTCTTATCTCCCCAGAAACTCTAGATAGAGCCAGTGGGGCCTTGGGAGGCTGTACAGATGGGTGAAAAAAAAAAACAAACCACATCCTGTTAGTCTAGTAGCATTTCTTGGTGTTGTTCAGGGCCAGCTGTGGGACTGCCATGGGTGGTGGACACTCCATCTATGCCCCCATTATGCCAGCTGCCGAGGGAACACTTCCCATGCTCTCAGCCTCCTCCCTAGAGTCTGTTCTTGAAGAGGGGGAGGTTGTTTTTCAGTTCTCAGATCATAAAAGTCCCTTAATTAATTAATTAATTAATTAATTATTTTTTTTAGGCGAGGCAACCCTTGGTTGACCTCACAGACTGCAAGGACTTTGTCAGCTTACGATCCTCAATTTTTAAAATTTTTTACGCCTACAGCACCTGGTCTCCCTAGGTGGTCTCCCATCCAAGTACTAACCAGGCCCGACCCTGCTTAGCTTCCGAGATCAGACGGGATCGGGCTTGTTCAGGGTGGCATGGCCATAGACCTATAAAAGTCCCTTAAAACAATAATAATCTGCGTCTTAAAACCCAGAGGTGTTCTGACGTGTACACAAGAGCAGAGCCATGTGCTTAGAACATTAATTATTGTGCGGGCCCAGTGGCTTAGCAGGATGCAGGCTATGAAGTTCCTCTGTCCCGAAGCTCCTGGTAAGGGCAGAATGGAGGCGTTCCGCCGGTCAGAGGCATCACTGAGAGCGAATCAAGTGGCAGAGGGGGAAGCACACAGATGTGGAGGTTGCAGAAGCCCTGGCAAACTTCAGCTCTATCAATGCAGGGCGCACAGGCAGCAATGTCCGCTCCCACCCCCGCCCCCGATTGCATTGAGGATTGGCCGCAGCACCTGGGACCTTGCCCTTTCCACAAGGTGCCCGGAGTCCTAGCTCCCCATGATCCCCAAACAGCTCCTCAGTCCTGCCTCTGTTGGCTGTTCCCACAGCCCCCATGGCCCAGGCTGGATACTGAGAGGTCCAGATCAAGTCCAGATTACCAGCTTATATCCACCCGATCCTTCCAGGCCCTGCTCCTGATGTCTGGGACCTCCTTTTTCCTGCAAGTTGGTCCCTGGGGCAGAGGAGGGCTTCCTGGCATTTCTGGACTCATACGACTGCATCAAAGGCAGTGGGGGGCGGGGGAGCTTGAGGCCAGGCCATAGTGAGCGGGGGGCCAATGGAAGTGGGTACTGGGGGAGCCGCTCTGGTCCTCCAGGGACTGCTCGATGCTGACTTCAGGGGAGGAAGGGACACTCGTCTCCGTCCCTAGGCGGTGACTCACTGCATATACTAGGTGTGTAAGGGATGCTTCCTGAGTATCACAGGCTTTTCTCTCCCAGATGGAGAAGAACACAGGATGGGCCCCAGCTTGAGCAGATGGTCTCATGCTAGTCTGCTAACGTGCTGACAGAGAGAAAGCAGAACAACCCAGCTTCGAGTCTGCTTCTCTGCGCAGAACGATTCTTGTAAATCTGCCTGGGGAGAACGGGAAGGGGGGTAGCAGATGAGCGGGGAGCCACTCTGGCAAATTACAGTTCTCAGTCGGGATGAACGTGAACGGAAATAACACGTGCGGTCACAGGGCCAGAGTAGGGAATTGCTGAGGAGTCACAGAGGAGGCTGAAAAACAGAGACGCTGCCTGGCTCTTCAGAAAGACTCGGACAGTGAATCCTCTAATTCACTGATAACGGGTTGGGAGCCAGGTTGGGAGTTATGGCCCTGGTAGGCTGGTGAATGTTTAATAACCGCTGGGAGGAGGCTGACTTGAAGTGTCTGCTGAGTTCTGTGCTACAATTACTAATCCTACCTGGCTGACTTTAAGCTGCCAGTATGAGAAGGAGGTTCTGCCCCGCTAACCCTAGTCTCCGCGCCCTCTTCTGCAGGCGGGGCCCGCTCTGCCTACACAGGCTTGTCAGCACTAGGGCAAGCGGCTGACCCCAATGTGCCTATGCGGGAGGCCCACACCTGAGCCCACGCAGGTCAGCTTGCTGATTTGGGAGGACCAGCAGTCTCAGAGATGCGAGGACCACCATGACATTCCCATAAAGGTTCTGCCAAGGCACGTGGTAAAGTGTGTCATGGTGGAAGAGCTGCAGTGATGGGGATGGTGTCCCTGCTGCTGCCCAGCTGGTTCTGTGACAGACTGTGCCTAGGAGCGGGGGGCCTCTAGCGACAGCAGGAGGCAGCCACCGTGGAAGGGAAGCTGATATGCTCAATAGCAGAGCCACGTCCACAGTGATGAGACAGGGCCCTAGTAGGACCCTAAAACCCTACCATGCAGTGTGTGGAGGGGTGGTGGACGGGCGGAACATATTGAGCGGCGGGTAGGCGTGAGCCCAGGGCACTGCCTTGTCCTTTTTGTTCAGCCGACATCTGACATCTGACGGAAGACTTACTCAGGGCAGGGAGCCCAGCACAAAAGTTGACAGGGAATGGGAGACCTCAGAAGCTCCCAGTGTAACAGGGGAGGAGGAACGGAGGAAGCTGCTGTTGACAGAAGCCTTGATGGCTGCATGTCTCCCTGGGAGCAGAGAGAAGGAGGTCTTAGTCCAAGGAAGTGAAATGTCAGTGGGCAAGTACTAAGAGCCACAGTCAGGTGCCGGGCCGTGCGCAGGGGAGGGGTGGCTGCCGGCTGCCGCTGCCTTTTCACCTTCCCTCCACCTCGCCCCTGCCCGTCAGGGGCTAGAGCCAGCACCCCACTTGAACTATGTGAAGTCCAGGGCCCTAGGGAGGAGCTACTCATCACCGTTGGCCAATCACTGAGTGGAGACCACGAGCTCAGACACAGGGTCCACTGAGGTGAGAACCAGATGGCCTTAGCCTCATTAGGGTCAAGACAAGGGCCAGGCAACAGAGCAAGGGACCTTAGTGGGTCCAAGGCTGAGGAACCTGCTTGGAGCGGGCGCTGTTCACAAGTGCTGGCAGTGCCTCAGGGCCATCAGCAATCCAGTTATGAGTGCATGACGGTCCCCCTAGTAGCGGCCACATCTCCTAGAAGAGAGAATGGGTCACAGAGATAAAGAGCTGGTCTGAGCTTCTAGAGAGACACGGGCCGGGGAGAGCGTCTGGCCAGCTGAGCCCTGTGCCTGCCTATGCCTTCCGAGGGCGGTGCCGTCACGGACCCGCTGAGGGCCTGGCCTCCTCACTGCCTTGGCCTCTGCAGAGCCTCTCAGCTCTGCCCTGGGGCTGTCCATTTCGAGGGAACCCAGGTTCCTTTGCTGGCCGGGCCCCAGCTCCTGCTCTGGTCTAGCAGGTCTCTGCTGTTCCAGGATCACCATGCTTGTCATGGGCTGCAGACAAGCGGCATGTGGTCCTGGTACATCATGAGATTGGAAGGAGCTGCTTGGGGAGGCCAGGGCCTGCTGGGGGAAGACTGGTGGCCTCTAGACAGGTCAATGGCATGTCTCTCTGGCACTATCCCAAGTCCCCATGGCAGGATTCCTGGATTTATGTCCTTGACTGGGTCATGAACTGAAGACAGAACGGGGACCTGCTCTACTCAGACTCCCTGTGGTCCTGCCGCTAATAGGGTGGGGGTGGTGGGTAGTGCCAACCCTGATGGCCACTCAAGTCTCTCGAGCCCAGCTGACTGCCCTGCACCTTTCCTACAGGAAGGCTGGTCACACGGCAGCCCCCCACCTCATTCCCTGTGGACAACCTCCAGCCCCAAGATCTGGAAGTCAGTCTATGTCCCAAGGCCCTCCTTGAAGCAACCTGTACCCACAGGGTGTGGGGATTCTGGAGTCTTCTGAGATCCCTGAGGCACAGTGCCAGGGCCTTTCTGAGAGCCAGACTCAGCCCTGGGATACAATGGATGTTCTCTGGATGTCAGTTCCCTCACCTGCAAAGGAGACTGGTTAAGGACACTACAGGATCTGCCAGGTCCCTTCCAAATCTAAGCTGGGGCACCATCACATCTAGCTACTTCCCATTTGCAATCACCTCTTTTGGTCTGTTATCAATAGGAGAAAGCCTGTCTCACCGCAGTACGACGCGTCACCTCGACATGCCATCTCGTGACACAACGCCACTTTTAAAGCGCAAAAATGCTCCTTTTTTGGGCTTAACGACGAAGCACACGGTAGGGGTGTCAGTACACACTGTAGGACAGACAGTCTCAGGTAGCCTCCCCCTCAGGAGCGCACTGCACATACCCCTTAGGGCCAAGCAGGTGCGGCAGCTTCCCCGGAAGGGCCGAGGGTCCCAGTGGCTGTGCGCCCAGAAGCCAGGGCCCTGAACTCTGGCTCTTCCCAAACCTGCCCACCTCCTGCCCAGTTCGCAAACGTCTGCTGTGTGCCACTGTGTGCCAGGCCTGTGCCCACAGCACAGGTTGTACAAGGTGAGAGGACAAAGGGGCTGCCGCCTGTGCAGGGGTTGGGAGAGGCTGAGGGCCCAGGGAGAGGAGGGGCCCTTGGTCAAGGCTGGGAGCGGAGACCTCCTAGTCTGGAGTCTGGCTGTGTAGCCCCTGCCACCTGCAGAATCTGACCACCTAAATGGCATGTCCTATGTCCTACCTGTCCCCCAAGGTACCTGCCTTGATTCATGTCAACCAGCTATCTGTTGGGTGAGCAGTGGGGACACCAGGCCTCCTGCAGCTAGCCTTGCTATGGCCCAGACCACCTGCATGAGAGCAAGGGGGGACACCCCTGGGAACTGCTACCTGCTGGGTTCTGAAGGAGGGGACAGGTGTCCCCAGGCAGCATGAGGGTTTGTAGAAATGATACTGTGACTGCTGATTGTGAGTGTACCTTCCCCAGTTCCTTATGTCACTGGGATAGTCAGGCTCACCTTGGCATCTTGCCCCCAGCCAGGGGCTTACACCTGCACAGCAAGTACATGGCAGGCACACAACAGGTGCACGACAGGCCCACCACAGGGCTGGGAACACCAACGGATTCACCAGGAAATGGGCAGTGAGCAAGCCCCTGTGGGTTTTCACATGGGAGCACTTTGACACTTTACAGCCAGGCCTTTTAATCTGTCTCTTCTGAAGGCTCCTTCCACTATTAAGAAGCCACACAGTCCATTAGCAGATGTGCAGGCTGAGGCTGGGCGGCAAGTGACCCCCTTTTTCCTGCTTTCCTGAGGTTCCCAGCAGGCTGTTGGGGTCCCATCTGCCAGGCCACTAAAGAAGCAGCAGCAGAGCCCCTATGACCACTGGCAGCTGAGTGAGGAGCCTGTAGCAGGCCCTCAGGCGCATTGCCTCTGGGGCTCCTGTGGTGAGTCGGGCCTTGGCTAAGCCTCTGAATTTAAAACCCTGTCCTTCTTTACTCCTGGAAGGGGCCATGGGACAGGCAGAGAAGGAATGCTAAGATGCCCGGAAGTAGTGCTCCTGCAGAGGACAGCCCAGGGCAGGGCAGCCTGGCTTTCCTCAGGCAGCAGGTGTGGCTCAGAGAGGGCCCATGGCTGCTGCCAGCTACAGGCCTGGGCCGAGCCCAGCTTGACTTTTAACCTGTCTTAAGCCTGGGTGCCCCTACCTATCCCCCTACTAGTGACAGGGGCAGTAGGCCAGTAGGCACAGCTGCTGCCCCAATATGACGTCAGGTGACACATCCCTGGACCATGCTCTGTCCTCCCGTGCTGTCTTAGGGAGCCCCATGTAAGGACAGTGGAGGCCCACCTGACTTTGGTGCCCCTGCGTGCTCTTGGACTGCATGGGGGGATGGGAACCCATGAAATTCTTCTGGGATGAGGGCTGGGAATCCTTGAGGCTAGACATGGCTCGTTGCCATGGTCTGAGAACCCTCTGGAATCTGCCTTCCCTTGCCCAGGTGCTGCCCTGTGCTTGCTGCAGCCCCGCACGCCCAGGAGCCCGGAGATCCTGACGTTACCCTTGGCAACGTGCTGACGCAAATGCCAGCGGGCGGGTGGGGGGCTGTGGCTCCTCCGCCAGGCGTGGGGACGGGGGGCTCTGCCAGTCCTCTGTCAGGGGAAGAGGAGGCCTTGAAGCTGAGTGGGATAGAAGAGCTCTGAGGAACTGTGTCCGGAGCCTGGCACTGGGCCCCCAGACTCCTTTGGTTTCTGTAAAAATCAGCATGGCTTGTTCTTGGCTGCCTTGCCTTCTCCGGGGCCCAGAGAAAACAGTTCTGGGCCCTCCAAAAGGAGAAGGCAGGGGTGGCGGCCCCATTCCAGTCCCAGTGGCAGGAGGCGGGAGGAGGGCAGGGGCATGGAAGAGGCATGCCAGAGGCAGTGACAGGAGCTGCTTGGAGGCGCCGGGAGAGGCAGGCTCTCCTTGCTGTCTGGCCCGGCTCTCCTCTGGGCGGCCGGCCCACCTCCTCGGCCAGCCCCAGCCGGCAGGAGGAATTGTGGAGGGTATTGTCTTTCCTTAGCAGCCTGTTTGTTTTCCCTCCTGAGATATTGCTGGTAGAGCATGAAAGGTCAGAACCATTTGGAATCCAGTGAATTTCCAGCCTCGCTGCCTTGAGTTTCTCATCGAGAATTTCCTTTTCTGGTGAATAACCAACCACCTCCCCAGGCCTGCTGAGACTCGGGTGGTAGTAGGTTGGCAGGGTGGGGAGGGGGGAGGCCTGGCTGCCAGCCCCTCCCTTTAGAAAATGCCCTCAATGGTCCCAGAGTCTGGCTGCCTCCAGGAGGCAAGCATGGGCCTCACAGAGAATCCTACAGCCAACCCAAACCAGGACTTCCCACTGCGCCTCTCCCCACCCCCTGCAGGGACAGGGCCAGGAGAAGGCTAGAGATGCGAGGGCTGCCGGTCCACCCAGCCTAGCTGTGCAGCCAGTCGCTAGCACATGAACTGGGATCCACCCTGTAATGAATGACTGCGATGCAGGGGAGTGTGAGCATGGACTGAGGTCAGGGGAGGCCGCTCAAGGAGGTGACACCTGAGATGAGACCTGAGGAGCAGGGGCAAGCAGGCAGGGAGACGACGGGCAGGGTGGGCACGCACTTAAGGCTGGAGAGAGCAGAGCACACAGGCGTGAAAGCAGCTCGTGAAGGCCAGAGCAGAGAAGAGGAAGTGGCAGTGAGGAGGCGTGGATGGGCTGGGCGGAGCCAGCGGGGCCTCTGGCAGGAGAAGGCCTGGCCCTGGGCCTGTCTTTGAGGACACTTGGGCCGCCTCTTGGTTGATGGGTTCAGAGAGCAGAGATGAAAGCCAAATCCCTTCATGAAACATGGGACCAACTCAGGGCTCGGGCACCCTGCCTCCCGCATCCTAGGACACCTGTGGGCACCGGCTTGGTGGGCAAAGCCTGCCAGAAGTCATTCTGGGAGTCCAGCTTAGCGCCGAGGGAATTTGCCACACTGGCCCTGGAGATGACAAACGAGCAGCTGAAGATACAGGCCCCTAGAAGGCCTCAGAACACAGGCTATCACCAGCCTCAGGACAAAGCAGAGACGGGCAAAAGAAGCCTGAGTGCTGACTGCTGAGCCCGTGTGGCTGGCTGACCTGCCCTGGCACTGTCCTATGGCCTAGCTTGGGCACCTCGCTTTGCTTCACAGCCTCACCGCCTGGTCAGCCTCAAGCCCTCTGCCCTCTGCAAAGCCTCATCAAGGAGCCTGACCTTGCTCATCCACTGAGATGCCCTCCCCGCCAGAAACGACACATGGTGCTGAAGTGGGGACAGGCAGAAGAGTAAGAGCGGCTGGAACCCCAAGACCACACAGCGCTGGGAGCGAGGTGGGCCTGTCCTCATGGACATGGTGTCCTTGGCCCAGGCCACTCCCCAAGGACACCATCACCACCTGGCACAGCTCTGGGGAGAACCCCAGCTGCACAAAGGGAAAGCGAGAAGAACCCCGCCTTCTGTTTCCACGGCCGGCTGTAGCTGCTTCCCCTTCTCCAAGAGGCCGGGCCTCTTCACGAACCCGATGAAGCTGCAGACTCTCTCTCTATCCAGAGAAAACGCTCAGGGTACCAGGTCAGAGAAGGGACCCCCAGGCTGGGGTATCAACCGAGAGCTGCCTTCAGGGGCAGATGTCCTGACACCAGGCATGACCCTGAGGTGCTGTGGTGCCCATGGAACCTGCTATGCTCCACACCCTGCTCCCAGAGACACACCTTGATGGGGCCTCCCTGGCTCCCTTCTGATGGCAGCCTCTCCCACCCTGCCCTGCGACACCCAGAAGCCCACCTGCTTCCCAGGAGCCAGCAGTGGCAGGAACAAGCCTGGAAAAGCCTGGCCACTCACCGTCTGGTTGTCCTCGTAGAGCTTCAGGTCGTAGCCGCTAAGCTCCACGCAGAAGATGATGGCCGTGACACCCTCGAAGCAGTGGATCCACTTTTTGCGCTCTGACCTCTGTCCACCCACGTCCACCATCTTGAAGGTGAGCTCCTTGAAGGTGAACTTGTTCTCCACGATGCCCGTGGTCATGTCCCGGGAGCGCAGGATGTCCTCGACGGTGGGGATGTAGTCGGGCGCAGCGATGCGTTCCAGGTCGTTCAGATAGTAGGCAGCATTGTCCTCCAGGTGGTACTCACTGGAGCGGCCGAAGCAGGCCTGAGCCCCAGGATCAGCCCACAGCCGCCGCATGACACCCAGTAGCTCGGGCGTGATCTCGCCCTTGCTCTCGGCGGGGCCGGTCAGCGCGAAGAGCTGCACAGCATCATAAGCGCGGTCAGGGTTGTGGAAGTCAATCTTGAGGGCAGCCAGGGCTCGGATGATGCGGGTCAGCGAGTCGATGGCGTTGTAGATGATGAGTGGCTTGTACTCCTTGCAGGCCTCCAGGTTGAAGCCACCGCTGTGGATGATCTTCATCTGCTTCACAATGGTGCTCTTGCCCGAGTTGCTGGTGCCCAGCAGGAGCAGCTTGATTTCTCGGCGCTGCCGCTGGCTCTCTGAGCGCAGGTGGCGGTCAATTCGCCGGGACCGCCGCGCTGCCTCTTTCTCCTCCGAGCTTTGCCGACATCCCATGGTCTGGCAGCGGCAGGCCCAGGCGGGAGCACGGACGGGCACCTCTCCCTCTGCCCTGACAGAGTAGGGATGCTGAGACTCGCGGGCGGCGAGTCTGGCAGAGGGAGCCCGGCTGCCCTTTTGCACTCAGTGCGGGTGGTGGGGCAAGGTCGGGCCCCACTGCAGCCCCTGCCCCAGCGCCTCTTCTGCAGCCAGCATGGCGCTCCTGCTGCAGGGGGTGGCCGAGCCCGCCCTCTAGTGACACACCCCCTCCCCGGGCTGCGGCCAGGCCTGATTCGTGGCAGTCATTCCCCGTCCTCCCGATGATGGGAAGCCGTCCACTCGCCTCTGCCCACTCGCCTCTGCCTAGGCTGCGGCCGTCTGGTCCCCGGTTGCTGTGGCGATGCTGCTAAGTGCGGCTGGAAGGCCTGCCGCCAGTGCCGCTGCCACGGGTGCTCCCTGCGGCCCCCCTGCCTCGGGCATCCGCCCTTCACCTGCCAACACAGAGAACAGGGTGAGCCTCCTCCACCGTGGGAAAGGGAGCCTTCTGGACGGCAGGAAGCTGCCTGGGGAACAATGACCAAGCCCCCTCCCCACCATGAAGCTCCTCAGAGTTGGTGCCCAAACCACAGCAAACAAACGCACTGGCCACCGCTCCCCACGCCCGGTCAGCAGCCAGTCTGCCGAA